AAAAAAAAGCGGGTGGGGAGGGGGGGGGGGAACAAAGCCAGTAAACAGCATTCCTCCATGGCCTGAGCTCCAGTTCCTGCCCTGAGTTCCTACCTTGGACTCCCTGATGAACTGTGACCAGGGAGATGTAAGCTGAATAAACCCTTTCCTCCCTAAGTTGGTACTGGTCAGAGTATTTTTGTCACAGCAATAAAGAAATTAACTAGGACAGTGTCTATGCCTTGAAGGAGGGAGGTGGCCAAGGTGAGACACTGGGGCTACTCCCCACTCATATGGTAACAGAGTACCACATGAACAGGACCAACAGGTAGGAAGGACATCATGACAACTGTGAAGCTGTTGGAACCCAGTACTGACTCAATGCCAGTGGCAATGCATTCCCTTAGGCCATCCAGCAACCAGCTCCAGGCTACCACCCACTCAAACAGTATCTTAGGGACTTGGTACTGAGGGTGTAAAGCTGGATCAAATGATCAGTCCTCCAGGAGGCCTCAGGACACCCACATCATACAGGTTGAGGGGGAAGCTGCTAGAGCAGAGGAAAGCATGTCTGTAACTGTCTTTCCTGTCAGGGGTGGCACTGATGGACAACGAGGGAGGCCAAGGAACTCCCAGCAAAAGTCACTGCAGTGGGGTAGAGGGCACTGGTTTATGTCACATTAGCAAGTGCATCTGGTCATAGTAAAAGGATATTTTAGGAAATCCAAACCTGCATCTAGGGTTGCAAGTGGGGGCAGCCATAGGGATGCAGGCCATGCTGAAGGGTGGGACTGGGGTATGCCCCCTGCCTGCTGAAGTCCCGGAGCCAATGCCTCTGGCCTCTGTGGCTGGCCCATGCTACAGGAACTAGGTGCAAGCCTAATACCAGTGCTCCTGTTGGTGCCGATGCCACATTGTGCTCCACCAGGTCCAGTGTGTGTGTGTGGGTGTGTGTATGTGTGTGTGTGTGTATGTGTGTGTGTGTATGTGTGTGTGTGTGTGTGTATGTGTGTGTGTGTGTATGTGTGTGTGTGTGTATGTGTGTGTGTGTATGTGTGTGTGTGTGTGTGTGTGCACGCACGCACATGCATGCTGGAGTACTTCTGTTGCCATTCCTCACCCACTGCCCACATTCTTTTTTGAGACAGGATCTCTCATTGGCTTGAAACTCAAAGAAAGTTAAGCTGCCTGGCCAGTGAATCCCAGGGATCCGTCTATCTCCACCTCCCCAGAACTAGTATTATGAGTGTGTGCCAGTATACTCAGTTTTATTTTATGCATTTTGGTGAGAGTCTCATGCTTGACAGTAAACACTTTATGAAATGAGCTATCTCCCCAGCCCCTAGTAATTTTAAAAGCTGATTACCAATACCTTAACCTTAGACCAGCTGATATAGAACTTGGTGAACTTGGCCACTGAAACAAGACCTCCAAGCTGGCTTTGAACTTCTAGGCTCAGGTAAATTTCAGCCTCTCATATAGTTGGGGCTACTGGAGAACACAGCACAGCACACAGCATATGGCTGACACCATACACATTTCCTAATGCTCTTGAAGGTAACACATCCTTCTACAGATAATTGTTTGCTCCACCTAATTTTGGCAGTCCATTTAACATTTATAATTAGTTTCAATCTGCTGGCAATAGTGATATTTATCTATGCAAAATGGTTACAACCTTATTTAGATATGATCTTCTCTAACACAAAAAGAACGTCACTCTTGAATCCGATTTTGTGGTACATACCTGTAATCCGAGCACTTAAGAGGCTGAGGCAGAAGGATCACCCACAAGTTCAATGCCAATCTGGTCTGTATAGTGAGTTTCAGGCCAGCTAAGGCTACATACCAAGACATAGTCTCAAAAAAACAAAAATAGCTTCGCCCTTGACTCTAAGTCTTTTGATAGACTTTCAAAGCAACTGAGGTGAATTGAGAAGGAATGTTGAGATTGAATTACTTATAAAAAATGCCTGCATTCACTTGAGACAATAACAAGTTACTAGCTTTAGCACAACCTAATAATTATAAACTGCAAACAAATGGATCCATGATTTCTTATAAAGTAAGACTGTATAGATGTTTGTTTGAACAAGTGGTATTGAATGAGAAATGCATGTTCAAAGAACAGAATTCAGCTCTGTTCACATCATCCTTGAAGAAACAAACTGTTAACTTCCCTGAGAGAAGAAAGGATTCATATGAGAATATTACAGAAAAATCACCCAAATTCTACCTGTCAGTATTAAGTTCCAGCCATTCGCTAAGCTATCTCCTGGATAGTAGATCCTAAGTGCTCATAGGCCTAGTAGGCTTCTAAAAGAAGTTACCAGTAGTTTTATCCTGCTACAGCCCATTGTACAGTGCTGGCAAGAAATATAGAAAGGACCCTTACCTCGGGAGGTAACTGCAGAAGGCCTGTCAATAAATTCAGCCTCCCTCTATGAGGCATCCCAATAATGACATCAGTTATGCCGCTGCAGGCTGACATCTTCAGTAACTCGTGAAAGAAGCCCATCATGCTTTCGGCCCCTTCACCTCCATATCTCTTCACTGTGGTGAACTTGGTGGCCAAAAAGTGGTCAAACTCCTATGGAACAGACATATTAGTTGCTGCTCAGGTGAAAGGCAGGCAAGCTTGCGTTCACTGTAGGTAGGTCCCACATTATTCTAGTGGCCTCATCTGGTCTCTTCATAATATATCCATGGAGAGAGACATCGAGGCATAGCTCTGCCAAGGACCCTTGACACAAGAAGGGGCTGTAAAGAACTTAGTAGAACCAACTTACTGGAGAACACCTCCTTAAGTGTGCGCTCCTCCAGACCAGAGGCCATTTCCTGACACATCAGTTTTAATAGAGGCTCTTTGGTTTTATTTCAAAGTCTCATACTATTCAACTACCAAAACTACTGGGAAGAGCCTTCTTGTCACTTTAACATGCCTGAGCCCTAATCACAGTCACGATGGAGATTTGGTTCCACTCCTTTACACTGACAACTTCTGTGTATAGTCTTTGGATCATTTCAGGAAACAAGAGATGTACAATCTTAAGGATTTGGTCATTTTTTTGTAGAGTAAGTAGATAAACAGATTAAAGTACTTTGATGCCAAGGAGAACCAACAGCTCAAATGTCTGTTGGCCAACTTTGCTTCTATTCAGAGTGAAATGGTATGTTCTACTGTCTATTGTATAGCAGCAATAGGGAAGGACAGGGGCAAGTGAGGGTAAATAAAGACGCATGCCTTACCTTCCTCTCCTCAATAGGAAATGAGCAGACCAATTCCACTAATATTAGCTATTACTTTTTTGTTTGTTTTGTTTCTGTTTTTTGAGACAAGGTCTGCCTATAGCCCCAACTGGCCTGAATCTCCCAGAGATCTATCTGTCTCTGCCTCCCCAGCACTGGGATTAAAGGCATTTGTCACCACAATGTGCTGTCACTTTTTTGTTGTTCTTTTTGAGACAGGGTCTCCCTGTAGCCCCCCGTGGCCTGGAACTTGCTATGTAGACCAGGCTGGCTTTGAACTTAGAAAGATCCGCCTGTTTCTACCTCCCAAGTGCTGACACTAAAGGCATGAGCCACCACACCTGGTGAGCTGTCACTTTTTATACCTGAGATTCTAGCAATAATTTTGACAGATGTTTTCGTTCTTC